TTGCCTGATTGCGGAAGCGTTTGATGAAGGTATCCACCGACTCTCCGTCTTTTTGTTTCTCATCGAAGAGTGTCCTGATCGACACTTCTGCGTCATCATCGAAGAAATGAGCGAAGACCATGCTCTCCAGGTCCTTCCCGCTATTGATGCTTTCGGGCTTGAGACGGCGGTACCAATCGAACATAGGCCCACAAAGGGTGCCAACGAATGATCGCACCATCAAGGGCTCGTTGCCAGAAATTATTCCCAAATAAGACTTAAAATATATTAAGTGCTGAGTAGGGGAACCATTTTCGTCAAACGGCGTAAAGTTGATCAAGTTGAACTTTGCCGGATATGGGATCGAATCCCACTTTCTTGGGTAGGGAGATAGAATACCGGTCCTTTTTATCCCCTGAACAGACATCAGCCCGTTGATTTTGCTCTCGAGGTCCTTTATTTTATCGTCCTCGTCTGTATCAGATCTTGGATGATTCCTGAGAGGAATAACGGGGCCACCCCCAGCATTGTCATCTTTGGCGAAACCACCCCCAGCATTGTTATCTGGAGGGGGTGCATTTGAATCACACCCAGTATTTTTGGGAGGTGCGTCACCCATGATGATTTCGTCCACTTCTGGATCGCTGTCAATTGCGGCGTTCTGGGTGCGACGGCTGGATTCAACTCTGACTTGATTGGACAGAACCCGAATTTGTTGATCATGCTCTTCCCTCATTCACATCCTAGCCATTTCCATTTCGAATTTGAAGTTCTCTTTTTGTTTGACCAAGGCATCCTCAACCATTTTAGTGACCTCTTCTGTGCTAATCATCAACACTTCGCGGGATGGACCTAGGCTGGATACCGTTTTGTCAAAAGCGACTGCAGAGTTAGCATCTGACACTTCATCATCCGAGGATAATCCTTGATTCATCCTCTGATAGTCCCTTTGTCTAACGGTTCCCGACCGTAACCGAGTTATACGTTGGGATATGTCCGAAAGATGACGAGGATTGAAGTTTCGCATTGACTTCCCCTTATCAACCATATTAACTGTGACTTCTGGAAGTTCGTCATCTTGCGCAGTTGGACTTTTTCTAGAAACGCATTGGCTTGGTCCTGGGCATTCTGAGGAAGATTCTTTCAAATACCGAGACCCTCTGTGGAGTGGTCTTGGGGCAGCTACACGTTGATAATACTATCCTGATAATTTTAGTACACGGACAATAAGAGTCCGTTTCTCGGGTACCTTTCGTTCGAGATTTGTTCATACCCCCAGCCCGATAGTACAACTCATCGGCATGATTGTCGGATCAACGTATCGTGTGCTGGCACGACTCCTCAGGTATAACATCGTCGTCTGACGAACATGTTTCCTTCTGAGGATTCATCGTCTTGTCAGTGCTCTCAAGAGTCGCACGCTTTGAGTCATGCTTTCGTGAGCGTGAGACCTTAATGGGCTCCTGGATAATGACTCGCAGTTCGAGACAGTCAGTTATAGGATCTTTCTTGGATAATGACTCACAGTCCGAGACGGTCAGTTATAGGATCTTTCCCATTATAGGAAGGCTCTGATTTATTGGAAGGGCGAGTGCAACCCCCAACTCGATGAGTTGCTCGGGGTTCATTCATCATGCCCAAGCGTTATTTGACTAGAGCTTTGCCTTGATCCTCGTGCAAAAGACCCAGGCGTTCCGCTATCACTTTCCTACCTCTAGATATGTCCATATTGTCACGGAGATTCATCGGAGGTGCGGGATTAAAAGAAGCGAGATCTGAACTTGACGAAAGCTGGGAACCAGCTTTGGATCTGGAATCGACCGAGAGACACGACTAATGTCTTTTATCGGGTAGGGGCGCTGACTTAGCCTTCGGCACCCAAACCTGCTTAGATCTTGGTGATTTCTTGATCACCTCTTCCCGCTACAATTCTCGTGCCTCTCGCATAAGGATCTGGGTGTGCGCAATAAGTGCACGGCGGTTCTGGACGCGCTCCTCGAGGGTAGAACGGGTTCGTTTGACCTGAACCCATTTGTTAATTAGAGGTTGGGAGGAGGGTCTCGATGCTTGTTGTGGCGATAGCTTAGTCACTTGGCGCTTTCTGAACTCCCAATCCGCTTGGTATCGGAGTCCATCCACCTAATCCAAAGCCATGACGAATTGGCGCACGAGGCGTTGGCGTTTCCTTTGACGTGCTCTCTTTGATAGAGTTGGTGCACCTTCAACAGTCGGCTCCTTGATCACGAAGGAGTTCAGATCTGCAAATTTGGCTTCGTTGAACGCCGGTGGATCGTTGTGAGGTGCAACAACAATAGTGGCGGAGAGATCCATGACGAATTGGCGCACGAGGCGTTGGCGTTTCCTTTGACGTGCTCTCTTTGATAGAGTTGGTGCACCTTCAACAGTCGGCTCCTTGATCACGAAGGAGTTCAGATCTGCAAATTTGGCTTCGTTGAACGCCGGTGGATCGTTGTGAGGTGCAACAACAATAGTGGCGGAGAGATCGCGTCACGACAGCCTCAGCAGCGAGGCTGTTGGCTCCCACTTTGGTCACCAGCTTGTTTGCGGAGAAAATTGTTTGATTCATTGCGGGATTCATTACAAACTTCAGACATTTACAACGAAAACAAAAATTAGTCTTTTTATAAGACCTTTACATAATGAAAAAAAATACAATTCTCTTCAAACAGCGCAGAGATCGTTTATCGGTCTTCTGCTTGCGTGGGATCTTGGCCTGTGACGGGGATGTTGATATCCGTGGACCACCGTCGATCAGATCTGATTGCTAAGGAATCAAGAAGCCGTAGCGCTTATCTCGGCAACAGCGAGATAATTGCTCTTCTTAAGATCACCACAACGGGGTAATCTTAAGGGACGAACACGAGAATTGCAGATCTGACGAGTTCTTCTTCTTTATACCGACGAACTTGATCAGATCTCTACTCCTCCTCCTATCTGAAGTTCATGCACTTTTGATCTTCAATCCGGCAGGGCTTCGCCAACACTCGAGAATTCCAGATCTAATTGCAGATCTGACGAGTTCTTCTTCTTTATACCGACGAACTTGATCAGATCTCTACTCCTCCTCCTATCTGAAGTTCATGCACTTTTGATCTTCAATCCGGCAGGGCTTCGCCAACGCTCGAGAATTCTAGATATGAAAAAAAGAGGCTCCAGGGGCTGTATTTATAGGATTCAAGGAGATCCGGGCGGTTAAAACAGCGTAACAACCCATTTTTTGGCTTGGAGACACCTCTGGGTGTCTCGTTTGTGCTGAGACACCTCGGGGTGTCTCAACTCAGGCTGAGACGTTCCGTTTTGTACATATGTCCGTTTTCATCGTAACTTCTTCATCCGAACTCGGATTTAAGCGATTCAAAGTGCGTTGGAAAGCCGACGAGGAGATCTACAAGATCCCATGATTGAATCATCTATGGAGTGGACGAGATACGAAGGGCGTTTCGCCTTTTGTAAGCGACACGAGGCTCCCGATCAGTTCGTGTCTCCGTCATTCTAAAATTCCGTTACTCCACATAGTTCATCGATCCACTTTAGGCGTTCGTCAATGTCAATCAAGCTTCTGTGAATTAGATAGTGACGTTCATTATCTTTTCTTAGCGCTGAGCTATTCGTGGAGACCTATAGGTAATTTTCGATGCCTACATGCTTGTATTTATACGGCCTTGGGTGCGGTTATTTGGATGAGAATGAAGGATTTGGCCACATCTTCAGTTAACAATGGCCGAACCATATTTGGATATGATACGAAGTCAGTTGAGATGCTCCAGAATGAACAAACCCTAAAAAATATCAACAAACCCGTCAAAAATGCATTTCGAGAACTAACTGTGTGGGACGGACCCTGGTGACCCGCAGTTGCGCGGGACAATTCGGGACTTAGCCATCTTTGGCTTTCCAGATTTGTGTTTCTCGTCATTTGGCATATATTTTCCTTTGTACGCTTTGGGGACTTGCTTTAGGTGCTCGTTAGCTTCTTTACGGCTTTGGATAATCCTCTCTGATTTGGATAATGACGTTCATCGTCTTCTTTCCGTCTCAAGCTATATTTTGGCACATATAGGTATTTTTAGACGCCTACAGATACCCCCTCCAAAGTGTTTTAACATCATTCTTTTATAGAGGAGGCTAGAATGCTTTGGATATGATAGGACCTATTTTAACATATTTTGTCGAGGAGATCGTGTAGAAGGGCCTGTGAATAGCTTCAATTCTTGACTTCTTCTGCTTTCAGTCTACTCAGTATTTTGTCAAATAGATAAAAATTTTCTGATACTGCATTTATCATCTAACCGTTGTTGAAATCTTAAACTGAAGTTGGTGTGTAAGTTTCTAAACTTAGCTCGTGTCATTGAGTTAACGTTGAACTAATCATCTTCGTCAGAAGTTTGTATCTGAATGTGATTGAACTCCCTGGAATCATCTTTTTTTACTTAGAAATTTTATCCCGTGCCTTATTTTAGCAAAGTTGTTAGCATGCTGACCAATGTTGACTTTCATTTGCGACGCGTTGATCGGTATTGACTTCCATTTGCAACGCGTTGATCGGCATTAACTTTTATTTATAACACGTTGACCGATGTTAACACAGTTTATACTCATACGTTTATTGGAGTCTACACAGTTTAAGCTCTTAAAAAGTTAGAGAGGGGAGGACTAGTTTATACTCATATACTCCTGGGAGTTTTGGGAATTGGTTTAACCTCATGTGCCCGTAGGAGGTTGTCGGGTTATCCTTAAGAATATTCTGAGTAATATTCTCCAGAAACTTCCTGTGAAGGATGAGAAACAGTTTAGACTCATATACCCATTGGAATATGAATATGTGCCTTGAATATGTCAAAAACGGGCAAAAGTGGGTGAAAATTACACACAAAAACACCCTAAGAACCTCACACGTGTGAGACAGTCTAAGCTGTCTCACACAAGTGTGAGACAGTCTAAGTTGTCTCGCATAAGTGCGAGACAGCCCAAGCTGTCTCTGTGAGGATAGGTTTTGGAGATTTATAAAAGCTGATTTTCTTCTTCTTCTTTTTCACTTTGTTTCAGAACTCCTCTTCCCCAAGGACTCTTCAAATTCGGAACTCCTCATCAACAAGGATTCTGAGCTTTCCTTTCTTCTCTTTAAATTGTTGGATTTTGGCTAATATTCCCCTTCCAGACTTAGGGTTTTGATTCTTACCTTGGTGTTAAAGCTTCTCATTGGTAACGAGCTTTGTTCTTCATGAACTCCAGGTAAGACCTACTGTCCTCACTTCAATTTCAATTAAATCTTTTTCTTTGGGTACTTGATTCATGGTAAAAACTCTTCCTCCTGACCTAGGGTTTCAGATTTGATTGTGTTCGAGCCGATTGTTGTGGATTCTTCTTGAACGAACCAGTGTTCCCTTCCCCATCAAGCTTGTTCTCTCTGATTCAGGTAAGCTTCATCTTCAATTTTGATTGAGCTCCATCTTGTGTATTTAATTGCGAAGGGGTGGTCGAAACCCTAGTTTCAAATTGGGGATTTTAAATGACATCCCAAAATTTTTAAATGTAACAAGGGATTGAGTCTCTTCTTGGGTTGGTTACTTTCGTAGCTTCTTCTTCATGAATTTCCCAAGTTCAATTTATCTCAGGTAGATCCTTGCCCTTCACATGATCATTTGATTTTGATTTGGGAATTGAATTCATAGATTTGTCTGTGGAAATGGCTGAGACTTTGAACTAGATGTTGACTGAGATACTCAGTTTGATGTTGAATACTTGTTAACTTGAACTTGTTTAAGGACAGCGGTTTGACTTTCACTCTTGGGTATGACTTGAGCTTGGTTGTGAGTCAGACTTTTATTTTAGGCTTGAATGTTATCTGTAGGCTGCATGCAAGATTTGATTCGTCCTTTTGTATTCTGAACTTTGTTCTTGATTTTAACGGGAGACGATGAAGCTTCAATTCTTGAATTTGTTGGCGTTTTAATCCTCCAACTTGGGCATGGCCAAACCCCTAACTTGATCATTATGTGAAAATTGAGCTTGTTGAGTCCTGAGCTTGGGGGCACTTTATAGGTTTAATTGGGTTTTTAACCCAAAAAATCCATTTTTATAGAATTTTGATTAAAATTCACAATTTCCCTTTTTGTTCTTCTTGCTCCTCTGTATATTTGAACTGTTGTCTTCCATTGCAGATTAGCTATGTTGACGAGGAGATCACGTATCCTAAAGAGGTCGGCTACTGAGTTACCTGAGAGGGAGGCTCTATCTTTCGCAGGTAAACTTTTATAAATTTCTGCTTGTGAATTTAATATTGGCATATCATGTTGCATATTGATTCTCCATTTTGTTCTCCTTGGTGAGGCAATTAGAAAGAGCTGACATTCTCATTCGTGAGGGTTGACGCTTCACAGATGTGTTTTGCTTGGTCAAAACGCATCTTAATCAAATTGGGATGATTTCCGGCTGTATTATACTCCGGAGGACGGGTATATTACCACATTATTCATGTGACAATGTACATCATGCTTCGCATGTATAATGTAGTTTAAATCATCTCGCCTAGTTAATAAGCATCTTTCCTTCTTGCTTAGAAATTCATATGAATATGTTATGTAGTATATCCCCACTTTGTTCTCCTTGGCGAAGCAATTGGGAAGAGCCGACATCCTCCTTCGTGAGGGTTGACGCTTCATAGATGTGTTTTGCTTTGTCAAAACGCATCTTAAGGCAATATGGGGTGATTTTATATTGTATCGCATTTTGTAGGACGAGGTATATCATTATGCTATTTTCACGACAATATACGTTATCTTACGTGTGCGTGATATGGTTGAAATCGTCTCGCTAATTACAAGGTAATGACTCTATCTCACAGACTCATGAGATGGGTTCAATGTTTTGTATTGCCTTAACACATTCTTGAAACTGCATTTAACAAACACAAGTTATTCATTTCAGTTGAATTCCCTTCGGATGTGTTCTTGCCTTTCGAGGTAGATGGTCATAGGGTGAGCATTATGCTAATATCGATGATCCAACGTTAATCCCGCCAACTCCTCAATTTGGTTCGGACATTCCTGAAAATTCTCTCGATTGGTGTGAGAGGGACATCATCGTACTTTGCCTTAGCTAATTACCGACGCACCGCTTACAGATAATGAGGGTTCTACCCGACCTCCCAGGAAGACAGATTATTTATTTGGAGATTCCATTGAAGATCAGATAGTCGTATCTCTGAAGGATGAGCAATGGTTACACAAAGACATGGTAGGCTGCTTATATCTTCCACCAATCCCTCGTCATCGCTAACTGATTAAGTTACAGAAGCAAGCAGTGACACGCGAAATGTCATGGAATTTGACAGAGGAGCACACTCATGCCACTGCGGATATTGTTAGCCTTTATGTTTTGATGATAATTTACAACCACCATTATCAGTACTAATTACTTGTAGAGTGATATTGTAGTTAGTACCATATATGGAGGATTGGATGAAATATGAGCTACAACGATGATATCTAAAGAAGGAGGAGGCATAGTGATGAAGCAATGTTAATTCAAGAACAACAAATACAATGAGAAGCTTCATCTACTCAAGCTATATCAATACTCAAAATATTGTAAATCTATATGAGGATATTAGCTAGTTTTTCTTTTCTCTCTAGTGCTAGAATATAGGCAAGTAGTTTTAGATTTTATTTGAAGCTATTGGGATATCACACACACGTTTTTCATACTTATATTTTTTGAGTGTTTTGACAAAATATTATTTTTCACAAATACAAGGACCTTTTTGCAAAATCTCTTTTCAAGCAAGTTTGTCAAAATTTTTATAAACTATTCTCAAAGTTTTATATTTTTCTGAATTTATTTGATAATTTTTAACAAAATTCAAAGTGAGATTTTCTTTATGCATGTTTATGAGTCGACTCGTGAACAGTATTGAGTCGACTCATAAACTGCCCCGTAGTTGTTATTTGTTTCTGACGAGTCGACTCACAACATCATGAGTCGACCCATCAGGTTGAGTCGACTCATGACTGTCATAGGTCGACTCATAAACTGTGCTAGAAAATGTATTTTGTTTCTGCTGAGTCGACCCATGACCTCATGGGTCGACCCATGTATAATGAGTCGACTCATGAATTTTATGAGTCGACCCATAAGTTATTTTTAGCCTGTAATGACTAGTTATGAGTCGACTCATGAACAGTGACGAGTCGACTCATAACACTGCAACGGCTATTTTTGTACTTTTTCAGAAATTCAGATTTTAGGGGATTGTGATGATTTCTTTGGGGTATTGGCTGCTGTTATTTTTCACTATAAATACCCAACTACCCCATTTATTTTTCCTCCCAACTTTTGTAAGAGAAAAATCAATTGTGTTTAATTCTTGAGTTCAAGAGCCTTAAACTTTCAAAATCCAATTCCTTGTTTTATACTTACACATCCCACATCCATAGCTTCAAGTACAATCTCTCTCCTTACTATAAGGTTGTTGTAAGATAGAGAAATTCTTTATTTGCTACCATTGATAGTGTGGTGATCTCGTGGAGATCAACTGTGTCGTGAGATCTCGTAGAGATCAACTGTGTCGTGAGATCTCGTGGAGATCGCTGTGTAGAAGAAGTTCCGGCTTCCAAACCAGGTTGTGTAGTAGATTCTCCTCGAGAGTAAGGAGCGGGGACGTAGGCTAGAGAGTCGAACCTCGTGAATATATGGTGCGTTATTTGGATAACGATTTCTATCTTATCTCCTTTATTTTAGCATTATATTTTATGGTGTTTGCTTGTCTTAATTTTTATTGCACAATTATTACCTTAAGACCCTAATCACCCCCCTCTAGGGTCTAACAATTGGTATCAGAACTTTGTCTCTATATTAATTTTTGGTCTAATCACCTTAGAGAAAAGATCTTATGGAGGCTTTAATGAATGTGCATATGTTAGAAGGACAATCCACCACTAGACGCCCACTTTTCACCGGTAGTAATTTTGCATATTGGAAAGCTAGGGGCTCGGCCTTGGCCGAGCCACCTTGAGGTGGCTCGGCCACCGAGCCACCTCAAGGTGGCTCGGCTAAGGCCGAGCCGCCTTGAGGTGGCTCGGCTTTGGCCGAGCCCCCGCGGGCGGTGTTTTCCGACTTTTTCGAGTCGTTTTCCGTTGTTTCCGGTTCTGTCCGTGATTCGGTTGATTGAGACTCTGATTGGTTGATCTGATTTGGCAGTAAGTTGGATTCCTGATTTGGCAGTAAATCCGCTTCTGAGTTCGAGTCCGAAATTGATCTTGATTCGATCGTGATTCGTCCGAGTTTCCCCTTGGTTGGATGGCTCGTTGATTCCTCAACTCATTAGCTTGATTCTGCACGCGGGTGGATGCATTCCGTCGCTTCTGTGCGATTCGTCGATCTCGTCGCCTCGTTGGTTCGTCGGTTTGTGCCGAGCTATGCTAGGGGACCTATAAGCAATTTTATATGCCTACAGATACCCCCTCCAAAGTATTTCAGTCTCGTTCTTTTATAGAAGAGTCTGGGATACTTTGGATATGATTGTCCCTACCTTCAGTCGGTATAACGGGACCTCGGAATGGCTTCTGTTCTTGACTCCTTCAATTCTCCAGGCTTTTCGGTGCTTTGTCGAAAGTCTGTAAGAGTTCCGGTGCTGCATTTATTGTCTGACCGTTTGTCGGAATTTTCTGAACTTGAAGTCGATTCCTTTGAGCTGACCATTGATTGTGGCGTCGAGTCTTTATGCACAACGCGTTGTCCGGCGTAGTGTGGTTGAGTTATCCTTAAGAATATTTATAAACAATATTCTCCAGGAACTTCTCAAACCAAAAATAGGGAATAGTTTATACTCATATACCTTATTGGAGTATTAAGAAGCAGTTTATACTCGTATACTTTTCGGAGTGTTTTTGTGCCTAAATGAGCTGAACCGGCTTAAAATGAGCCAAAAAAGGCAGTAAATCGGCTCAAAAAATCCTCCAACTCCTCCGAACAAATGGGAGAGGGGTGAGTGAATGATGGACTGAACCGTCGCTCGATTTGAAGTCGTTTCGATGCTCGGTTCGGCTTCAATTTGGATTTTGGTTCGAACTGGGTCCGGTCCGGTTCGGTTCGGTTTGGTTCAACCCGGTCCACCTTATATAAAGGGGGTCTTTTTCTTTTCTTTTTTCTTTACCCTAGGGCCGGCCCCCCCCTTTTTGCCTCCTTTTTGAATTTCTCTTCCCTCGAGCCTCCGTTCTCCCTCAAAACTCGATCTTCGTCTTAGATTCATCCTTCCTTTTGATCCTTGACTGAGAAATCCCTCGAAACTTCCATATTTAGACTTTCCTTCGAGCCCCTCGAGCGCGTGGTTCGAGCACTTCCAAGATCTAATTTTTGTCGGATCCTCGAGCTTCCCCTCAGGTATATCTCCATAATCTTGATCTATTTCATGTTTGATCTAGTGTATGGAATAGCGGGATCGCATATAAGGGTTGAGGGAGTGATTTGATGCCTCAAGCTCGCCTTTTTAGGGGATAAAAAAGTGATTTTTATTTCTAGATCTGACCTCTTGAATTCTTTTTCTGTAGGCCATTATGTCGCGAGTATCGAGAGGTCGTTTTCCTGCTGCATCGGTTGATGGCGCGCCTCCCTCATATGCTGGTGAGCAATTTTTTGACCTTTTTCGAAAATTTACAAATTAGTCCTCTTTTTTCTGGATATTTGCAAATTAGTCCATTTTACCCCCCGTTGTTCTCCTTGGTGAGGCAACCGGGAAAGGCCTTGGTTCTCCTTGGTGAGGATCGACGCTTTATGGAAATTTTGCAAATTAACCCTCTTCTTCTGAGAATTTTGCAATTTAGTCCTTTTACCCTATTTTGCTCTCCTTGGTGAGGCGATCGGGAAAAGCCTTGATTCTCCTTGGTGAGGATCGACGCTTTAAAGATGGGTTTTGCTTGGTCAAAACCACATCTCATAATAAAGGGGGCGTTTTGACGCTGCATTGTGCTTTATAAGGCAGGGATATATTGTCGATATACCCTATCTTATAAATGCGCAATGTGGCCAAATCGTCTCGCCCTTTATAAGGCAATGACTCTATCTTACCAATTTGTAAGATGAATTCAATTTCCTTTTATATCTGAAATTAACAAACACTTAACTGCTTGTTTTCAGTGGAATATCCTTCCGGAGCTTTTTCATCGCATGCGGTGAATGGACGTCGTGATGAGTATTATTCCACATCTGATGACTTTTCGCCCATTCCGTTCACCTCCCAGTTTGCTCCGGGCACGTCGTTGGAAGTTGTCCAAGTGGTGAGGGAAGGTGGCCATCAAGCTCTTCGCCAGCTGATCACAGATGCGCCTCTCGTGCAGGATGCCAGTTCCGTTCAGTCTCTTAGGAAGACTGACTTCTTGTTTGGAGACTCTACCAGGGATCCCGATGCAGTATTTATTGAGGCTGAGCAGTGGCTTTACCAGACTGGCAGTCGTTATATGTATTTGCCGAAGATTCCTCGACACCGTTCTTTGACTGAGCTCAGGCGCCAAGCTGTGAAGCGGGAGATGTCGTGGAGTTTGACAAAGGAACATGAGAGCGTTCACTGCGGCTATATTACTCATCAGGCAGTTCCTGGTTCGAGTCGAGATCACATTGTTGGACTACATCCTGGAGTACTGGGGCTAGATACTCCGCCTCGCAATGAGTTCCTCACCACTGCTTCTACTTTGAGGAATCGCCTCGCTATCTTAGGACGGGAGATGCCTGCACCGCGCCACAGATTCTATGGTTGGGTCCATTCTTTGGACAGGTTTTGGTGGGCTCGTATGACGAAGTATGTCTTGAGCCGATGGAGCGAGGAGTTACATGCTTGCGGTCTTTATGCAGCCATTCGGGCCACTATGCATGGCTTGCCTACAAGCGCGAAGCATTTCTTTGCCCTATGCGAGCTTTACAATCCAGATTCCAACACTTTTCTGACCAGGCACGGAGAGTTGGGCTTGGCTCTACATGAGATGCACAAGATTTCTGGTTTGCCCATGGGACAGATGTTATACCAGGAGTACTTTCCCTCCAACCATGAGTTGAGTCAGCTGAAGGATCGCATGCCCGACCGCTACGAGACCTTATGGGACCTCACTTGTCATTATCACATTGCTTTGGCGCAGTCTAAGCCCCTAGCGAAGAGGACCAAAGCAAATGTGAGCCTGAAGCAGTTCGCATCATACTTGTTCAGGAATCTGGAGAGCCATTCTGGCCAATCTATTTGTGAACTGGCACCGCTGACTCCTTCAGAGGTTAATGAGCTGCTGAATAAGACTAACGCCCAATCCTATACCATTAGCAGTTCCGAGAGCGGCTTTCCTGCAGGGACTAAATTCAGATCGTTCTTATATCATGCGACCACACCGATTCGTCCGATGACTCTCCTTGCCGGTTATCTCGCCATCTGGTTGAAGAAATGTGTGGTCCC